CCTGCCGCTTCACCGGTAACAAAACTCCCGCCGACAGCCGCTCACGTGACACGGCCCTGACTGCAAATCCGCTCCTTCCCATTGGTCGGCTCCCAAATCCGCTACGTCCTGATTGGCTGCCGCCCGTGTAAAGAAAAATGGCGCCAAAAGCGCTGCAGACCTGTCACTCGATAGCGGGTCCCCTCGTGTGTCGGGAGGGATCATTGTCACCCGACCGGGTAATAACGCCCCCACATCTGACTATACAGACAACGGGAGGAAAAGGGTTACCATGACAACCAGAACTGATATGGGGTGAATACTTCTCTATGTGGGGGTGGGGGCAGGGCTGTCCCTGTAGAAGCGATCATCACCCATACGGTTATGTTAATCACAGTTCCTGTTCCGTTCTCTGTCGTGTTTGTTGTTAATAAAGCTGTAGTGGGCGGAGCCGAAGAGCATGCCGGGACTTGTAGTCGGGCTGGGCCCTTCCGCAGAGCAGAAATGGAGGAGGCCGAGGTGGAGCGCCTAATAGTAGAGGCCAGAGAGAGTATGGAGGCTGCCGCCAACTACCAGAGAGAACTGCAACACCGACTGAAGGGGCTGAGCCAGGCCAGGACACAGGTAAGCCCGGCACTGACATCCCACGGGGGGCCCGGCACTGACATCATCATCCCCCCCTCCGGAGATGGCCACTGACATCATCATCATCATCCCCCCCTCCGGAGATGGCCACTGACATCATCATCATCATCCCCCCCTCCGGAGATGGCCACTGACATCATCATCATCAAATGATCACCCCTCACCTTACACGTGTGTGCAATGGTCACCTCTCGTCAGTACACGTGTGTGCAATGGTCACTCTGGTCAGTACACGTGTGTGCATACAGAAATCACAATATGGTGACATGAACTGAAAGCTTCTCATGTTTATCATTATGGTCACATGACGGAGGTCGGTATAAATACAACTTTTACTATAGCGTGTCTGTCATGTTGCCCCCGGGGTATGATACATGTGTGTAGTGTGGTATCCTGGTCTGTCGGGAACCATCAGATTTCTATTACACGGCACACGCTTACATGTATCTGCTGTCGCATGTTGTCTAGATCAAGGAGAGCGCAGCCCAGACCCGGGAGACTCTGCGGCAACATTTCCAGGACATGAGGAACGGCGTGACCAAGATGCTGGAGGAGAGGCTGGCCGTCCTCCTACAACAAGTGGAGGCCATCGAGCTGCAGAACATCAAACCCCTGGATGATTGTCAGAAGGTGCTGGAACACGGCATCAGCACGGCCCAGGACCTCCTCCGAGAAGGTGCCCCATACTATGGGGGCGGGGTCATTGTCTAGGAGGGGCCGGTGTTATGGGGGGTCATTGTCTGGGAGGGGCCGGTGTTATGGGGGGTCATTGTCTGGGAGGGGCCGGTGTTATGGGGGGTCATTGTCTGGGAGGGGCCGGTGTTATGGGGGGTCATTGTCTGGGAGGGGCACATTGTCTGGGAGGGGCCAGCGTTGTGGGCGGATGTCATTGTCTGGGAGGGGCCAGCGTTGTGGGCGGTGTCATTGTCTGGGAGTGGCCAGCGTTATGGGGGTCATTGTCTGGGAGCATTGTGTGCTGATAGGATGGCTTTCGTTTGAATGACTTGCTGATCTCTTGGTGTGGCCCCGCCTTCTGGCTCATTACAAGGTGCCGTTGCGCGTGTGCCTCTCTGCACAATGCGGCGTCATTCACTTTTCTTGTGAAATTCTGACTCTTGCAGGCGCGGTCGCGGTGTCCGGAAAACCTGGAACAGACCATCAGACCCTGTGTAATTTCACCAACAAGGCTCTTCACATCCAGCTGGACAGGTGAGGTCCTGAGTATGCCGGGTTAGGGCCCGCAGCATGGAGTGCAAGGTATTGGCAGATTCGGCTGAGGGATGGGGGGTATCCATGGAGTATGGTGATCGGTGGGATGGGGGGTATCCATGGAGTACGGTGGGATGGGGGGTATCCATGGAGTATGGTGATCGGTGGGAAATGGGGGGGGTGGTGGTATCAGTGTTCATGGTGGTGGGACAAATGGGGTGATCTGGTCTTACAATGGTCAGTGGTCTTGAAGGTGGGATATATGATGGGCGTGGCTTGTCAGAATGATGACATCACTGTGTTCTCTTCAGCTTGCCGGAGGTTCCGTCACTCATTGAAGTTCCATGCTTGTCGGCTCAGCTGGATGACTCTCTCCTCTCCGTGGCCAGAGATCAGATCTCCAGTCATGGTACAGTGGCCTCCAGACCTCCGGTACAGATCGAGGAGCTGACTGAGAGGCCGGGAGGGATCCTGGTGAAATGGTGTAAGGTCAGTACAATGAGTACACACGCTCTCCACAAGGGACCTCCCCTGAGCTTCATGCTTGTTAGTGTGGTCACAGAATTTGCTGCCAGGAAAGGGTGGAGCTCCCTGATGACATGCGGGGGGGAAAGGGTGGAGCTCCCTGATGACATGCGGGGGGGAAAGGGTGGAGCTCCCTGATGACATGCGGGGGGGAAAGGGTGGAGCTCCCTGATGACATGCGGGGGGGAAAGGGTGGAGCTCCCTGATGACATGCGGGGGGGAAAGGGTGGAGCTCCCTGATGACATGCGGGGGGGAAAGGGTGGAGCTCCCTGATGACATGCGGGGGGGGGGGCGGAGCCCCCTGATGACGTGGGTGGAGCCCCCTGATGACATGTCTATTTTTCACCCTCCAGAGGGAAATGACTCTCCTCCTTCCCTCAGGTAGATGACGACTTTGTGGTGCAGGATTACCGCCTGCAGTACCGGCGCCATAACTCGGGCCATTTTGAAGATGCGTACGTGGGCCACGAGTGCGAGTTCATCGTCCTGCAGATTGACCCCAATGTGGATTATCAGTTCCGTGTGTGTGCCCGGGGGGACGGGCGCCAGGAGTGGAGTCCTTGGAGTGTTCCGCAGATGGGTCACACGTGTCTCATCCCTCACGGTAAGTCCTTTCCTCTTCCATTATTGGTCCCACAAGCTGACACTCAACTGAGAGATATTGTTGAGGAAAGTATATTGGTGACATTTGTGGGGTGGGGGGCCCGGGGGGTTTGTGACATGGGGGGAGGCTGCGTGCTCACAGACTCCGCTGATTACTTTTGCTTCATCTCCCGGCAGAGTGGAGTCCAGGATTGGAAGGTTACAGTCTCAGCAGCCGAAGGAACATCGCCCTCCGCAATGATAGTCCCTGCCAATCCGTCCTTTACTCCAAAAGTGCCACCTACTTCCCTGGACAGACCCTGACCTTCAGGTGACATGGTGGCTTCCACAGTTATCTGCCATTGTACTGGTGGAATGGGGTGGGGGGTGTCTCTTATGATTTCCAGCATCATTGTTCATTCTGCTCTATATCTTGCAGGGTGGAGACCACCGGACAGCCGGATAAGAGGGACAGTATTGGTGTTTGTGTGGAGAAGGACAATGGATGTGACTCGATGCAGAGAGACAAGGCCGTGTGTATCAGTCCAGGCGGTGAGTGTGGACTGATCATCTCTTTATTGGTGACGTGACCTATCACTGTGTCTCCCGAATGATGACCTGACATACACCTAATGGCCAAAAGTCCGTGTACCCCTCACACCTATATGATCTCATTGGACACCCCATTCTACTCCATGGCCATTACTATTGACTTGCTCTCCTCTTCCCTTCATGGATATTAATTAGAGCTGCAGCTAACGATTATTTTCAAAATCGATTAGTTAGCCGATTATTAAGTTCGATTAATCGGATAAACTATAAAATAAAGTTTAAAAAATGGCTCCAGTGATAGGACTACTAGTTTGTATTGAGGTTGTAGTCCATCACAGGAGCGAGCTTGTATTGAGGTTGTAGTCCATCACAGGAGCGAGCTTGTATTGAGGTTGTAGTCCATCACAGGAGCAAGCTTGTATTGAGGTTGTAGTCCATCACAGGAGCAAGCTTGTATTGAGGTTGTAGTCCATCACAGGAGCAAGCTTGGAGCGGTGGAAGTAAAAAAGAAAGTGTGGTGTGCAATATAGTGAAATGGAAAGTGTAACATTATACAGCAATGCATGCAGAATGGCACCGGCTATAGAGGACTACAAATCCCAGCAATAGTACATAATAGTTGGTGGTATTGCGCTGTATAATGTATTATTGCTGGGACTTGTAGTCCTCTATACAGCGCAATGCTGAATATCACCAGCTATAGAGGAGTACAACAAATCCCAGCAATACATTATACATACAGCGTATAATGTATTGCTGGGATTTGTATTCCTCTATAGCTGGTGGTACAGGTTCATGCTCTGTATAATATACAGCACAATGTACCATCAGCTATAGAGGAGTACAACAAATCCCAGCAATACATTATAGAGCACCATGTGGGGGGGAGTGCAGGCTTACCTGACCAGTCTTCCAGCAACGTGCTTCTGAGATCGGACCTGTCTGTCAGCAGCTGTCATCCCCCCACCCCTGCTCCTCCTTACTACATCTCCCCACGTCCCTGTGCCGATCATGGATGGGCAGGAAATGTAAGGCGGGGAGGAGGTGCGGCGTGTGGATGCGAGCGGGTCTGGCAGTGGCGAGCGTGAGGTGGGGAGGAGGTGCAGCGCGTGGAGCTGTGAACAGGGCCAACTGATCGGAAGCCGATTAATCGATTATTGAAAAAGTTGACAACTTTTTCAATAATCGATTAGTTGTTGCAGCACTAATATTAATATAGAGTTGGTTGCCCTTTTTCACTATAACTCTCCAAAATCTGGTGGAAGCTTTCCCAGAAGAATGGAGTGTGTGTGTGTGTGTGGAATTTATGCCATGGGAGAGGTCAGGTACTGATGTTGGATGAGAAGACCCGGCTCACAATTAGCGTGTCATTTCATCCCGAAGGTGTGCAGTATGGTTGTGTTCAGGGCTCTCTGTAGGACACCTGTGTTCCTCCATTAAACTGGTCACACCGTGTCTTTTATGGAGCTGGATTTGTACACAGGGGCCAGTCATGGTGGAACAGAAAAGAGTCTTCACCAAACTGGTCACACCATGTCTTTATGGAGCTGGCTTTGTACACAGGGGACAGTCATGGTGGAACAGAAAAGGGTCTTCACCAAACTGGTCACACCATGTCTGTATGGAGCTGGCTTTGTACACGGGGACAATCATGGGGAGAACAGAAAAGGGCCGTCACCAAACTGTGACCACAATTGTATTTGTATGATTTAGAACAGAACCTGTACTGGAGACATATGAACGAGTTCCTGTGGGTGGG